GTGTGTTGTTGTTGTGAAGTTGTTGTTGTTGTTGTTTAAGTTGTTGTTTAAGTTGTTGTTGTTGTTGTGGGCGTTGTTGTTGTTGTTGTTGGGGCGGGTCGTGACCATGCTTCTGTCTGGACCCTTGAAGACGTACTTGAAGACGTAATGAATGGCGCGAACGGACCCGCAAACCTCGACGTTGATGTGAGCCTGGTATCGCCGCAACAGCGCCGGCGAGTAAGGCACGACCCAACTGTTGTCCACGGTCACGGCCTCGCCGTTGATCACGCGAGACACCGCCATGCCGCCATCACGCACCCCACGCCGGCGGTACTGGGGATACATCTCGTCTCTCCAAGATGTCTCTGAGCACAGGGGCTTTGGGAAGTCGTGCTGACAGCCGGAGGGTGTCATGCAGGGGGCAGAGGGGTTGTGGGAACCGCACATGCCATGGAGCATGTGGTGCGTCACCAAGGCGTGCAGTGTCGCGTCGGTGGCGGGGTCGGGAATCTCCGCCGAAATGAAGCGGTCGATGTCCGACGGCCCCTGCAAGGGCTGGGCACACCACACCAAGCAATGCGCATGGGGCAACCCGCGCATCTGAAATTCAATCGCATACAGGAACGCGCGGGTGGGCCCGAAAACGTGGCCGTGCTCAATGTCGATGCGGAAGGCTGCCAGCTTGGCGTGGAAGACGCGTGCCAGGAGGTCAGGGCGATCGGATGCGCGCTCGTGACCCCTTAACTCACGGGTGATTTCAGGCCATGCCGGGTTGCACGTGAATGTCACAAACAGGTCGGGCTTCCCTGCACATGCCACCGCACACAGGACGCAACGCACACGTTAGTGGGCACACAGCGCGCGCACGCAAATCACCACACATGCATCGATACACGCGAACAAACGACAACACACACATACACACACACACACACATACAGGCGCGCGCGCACCGTATTCGCCAAGGATGGCCATGGCGTCATGGAAGCGCTCCTTGGTGTGCCGTTGTCCTCCAAGGAAGCTGGATGGCAGGACAACCCGGCGCCCAAGCTGCTGCTCGTCTGCGTCATCCTCCCCAGAGTGGTCCACCAAGTTCTGGTAGATGGCGGAGCGAAGCTCTGCCTGATGCTGGCGAACGTACAGGAGCCGCAGGTACTCCACGCGGTAGAACGCCGAGCAAATGTACTCCTGCGTCAGCCGCCCGGCACGCAGCAGGTAGTTGCACTGCGACCTCTGCATCAGGTGGTACACGTAGAACTGCCGAGTGCTCACGTGACGGGCGGCCGAGCCATCGCCGCCGAGCCCCATGACGTCCTCTGCATCGACGACAGCACCACCACACTGATCCGGGCGGCGTTGATCACCACCCAGCGACGGCGGGACACGCAGAGGCACGCCAATCCTCCACCCCGGTGTGCCATCGGGAAACAGCAACACAAAGTGAAGCGGGTCCCAGGCCTGGTGTGTCTCGTTGATGAACTGAATGCCGCCGTCCCTCGGGTACACGACCAGGTCCCGCTGTGCAACCTGGTCATCCGGACACAGCAAGGCCACCTCCTCGGAGTTGCCCGACGTGTAGCGGCGCGCGTGCTGATCGGCGGGCCTGTTCTCGGAGTTGAGCACCAACTGCAGGTCCGGCACAGCATCATCGCCCGAAGACGCGAGCGCGGCCGAGGCGGCATCACGAAAGGCGTCGACGTATGGGTTGCAGTCCACCAACATGTCATGGAGCGTGGTGAGGATGTTCGCGCAGATGGAATCGGGCACGCTCGTCCCAGCCGCGATCCGCTGTCGCATGTCGAGCAGGCGGCGCGCAGTTGCCTGGCCGACGTTGTCGTACACGTACACCTGCGCAAACTGCGGCTCCTCGCCCTCGGCAGGCAGCAGCGACCCGATGCAGTGATGAAGGCTCCCCTGTATGATGAGGTGTGGGTTCCACCCACGCTCCGCCCTCACCCACGACGCTCGCGCAGAAGCCAGGGCGAGGGCATTGTTGAAGAGGCGGATGTAGTCATAGAAGATGCGACCACGCTCGCCACGGTCCTCCCAGAGCTGTCGCAGCGGCGCCGGTGGTGCTGGCATGGGTTCGAGATGAACGCGGCCGTTGCCACAGCAGAAGGAGCTGGTCTCACTGCCGTCCTCGCGGCGCTGGCCATCGAACAGCAGCGCACCGCAATAAGGGCACTCTCGTGTCAGGGGCGGCAGGAGATGCACGTCGTCCATGCGGTTCGCAGACAGCGAGCAGGTCGTGACCGTGTGACCGGTTTGTCCGCAGCGGCCACACCGCCGCTCTCGAGTCCGACCTGCACGCGACGGCGGCTGCTGTTGTTGTTGTTGGCGTTGTTGTGGCTGTGCGTGCACGCTGGCGAGGGGGCTCGCCGTCACCATTACCACAGCTTGGAGCCCGATTCCCCAGTTGCTGCTGCTGTTGTGGTTGTTGTGGTTGTTGTGGTTGTTGTTGGCGTTGCTGTGGCTGAGGATGAGTGGTGCGTGCACGCTGGCGAGGGGGCTCGCCGTCACCATGGAGCCCGATTCCCCAGTTGCTGCTGCTGTTGTGGTTGTTGTGGTTGTTGTTGGCGTTGCTGTGGCTGAGGATGAGTGGTGCGTGCACGCTGGCGAGGGGGCTCGCCGTCACCATGGCCACAGCTTGGAGCCCGGGGCGCCTCGCGTGGCGTTGCCCGCCTTCTCACCAAGGGGCACGTCCGTGCGTTGTGACCGGGGTTTCCACAACACCGGCATCGCTGAGTTCGACGGCCTGACATCTTCACGGCGCCTCAGCTTCAGGCGGAGGCATATGCGGTCATTGAAACGCCATGGCCAGCGCAGGGCAACACAAACGTGTTCGCGCAAAGGGAAGCGCAGGCGCAGGCGAAGTGCGTCGCCCAACCGGGCGCTCCAACAGCTGTCATGTCTGCGGCGTCGCGGGGAAGACAGTGCACACAGTTGCCTGCTTGCTTGCCAGCTGCTTGAACACGTTCCGACAAAGCACTGCCGTGTGACCCGGTCGCTCCCAAAAGCATGCAGACTTGATTATGCTATGCTGGGGTTGTTAATTGCGGTTCCGTCGCTTGGAAGCGGGCCGCGCGTGGCTGCTCAATGTGCTGGACGGTTTGTGCTTGCCTGGCTGTCACATCATCTCAGCCAGCTTCCTCAGCCAGCTTTGCACGAACATGTTCCGACGAAGGAAGCGAGAAGAAGAACAGCCTAACAGCGTGCACTGTGCGTGTTGTTCCTTCGGTCATCATTGTTGTTGTTGTTGTTGGAAGGTGACTGGTTGGTCGACTGACTTCAGTACCTGGCTGGTGAATTTTTTTTATTCTGCGGATGGGAGCAAAGTTTGTCGAGCAAACGTTGACAGAAAAAGGTGGCTGCGCCACCGAAAAACTCTGCGTCCGCGAGCGGACGCAGAAATGCTGCCACCACGCCCACGGATTTTCCCAGGGGGGCTCCGCCCCCCCTGTGCGCTTAAAGTAACAAGTGAAAAAATGTTGAAATTCTCCTCCTCTCCTTGTGCTTTTGTGACTGTGCACCGCGGCTGTGGACCACCTTCCTGTCTCCCCGACCACCACCCAGCGATGATCACATCACTCTCCTTCGCGCACCCTCGATGCACCACAAAACACTTGCTCGCTGGCTGGCGTGTTGTTGTCTGGATCACCGTAAGGGGGGATTTATTTGGTGCTGTTGCTCATATCAACGTCATTCAACTTCCAACCATCACAGCCACACCACATCCAAAGCACGTGCGCATGCTGCTGCTGCTACCCGTCGCCTTACTGAGCGCTGCCCTGGCCGCCCTGGAACTTGCCACGGCCAGCACCGCCACGCTGTTGACAAACAGGTGCAAAGGGTCAACGCAAAACAAGCAAGTGAGGGATGCGTCGAGTGCCATGGACGAAACGAAACGAAACCGGTGGAGGGGGAAGTTCACATCACAGTTTCACCAACGCATCCAATTACACACACACACATACACACACCCACACACATTCAAACAACACACACGGCCCATCGCTGGTCAGCACCACACATCAACCACTGCACCGGTGCACCAGTGAATTGGCTGCGAAACTTACGAACTCAGGCTTGAAGTCACCCTCGGGAGCATCGAGCTTCTTTGCACCCTCATCTGCACGCCCAAGCGCGCGAGCAAGCACATGACATGTGAGATAGAGAACGTGCCATGAACTGCACGCGCCAAGCTGCCCACATAAGCACGTGCGTCCCGTTATCTCTCCTCCCTCACGCGCCCTCATTACCCAGCGTCAAACACGACAAAACAGAACAAGGACGCACCGCCATCACGCCTGTAGGCATCGCGGGAGGTCCTCTCGGCACGGTGGCCCATGGAGCGCACACGGCGAGCCGTGGGGCGCTGCTCGCGGGCAGGCGCCTTAAGTGTGGTGGGAACAACGTTCTCGGGAAGGTGGAGGTAGTCCCTGAGGTACTCAATGCCCTCGTCTGTGAGACGCCAGTAGAAGTGGCGGAAGGCAAAGTCCTCGTGCACGAAGCCACGGGACTTCAGCGACTGCACACAAGCAAAACAAACAGCACACACACACACACACACACACAGAAAACACAATAAGTTCCCCAAGCCATGCGTGTGTGTGTGTTGATAGTGTCGGTGCCAAAGCAAACACGTAAACACGAAATGCCAGCGAGTCGGTGAATTGTGACTGTGTTGTGCCCTGCATCATCACAGTTCTTGAACTCATACACACTCACTCACGACTCATCTCCCACGCCAATGTGCACACCCTCGCACACGCACCTGGAGCGCCTTGATGACATGGAGGTTGGGGATCCTCTTGAACTCAGGGTGGGAAGGGGCGTTGAAGTCCTTCTTGGCCACCATGACGCCGTCCTCGAACAGCTTGAAGTAGATCTGCTTGCGGGTCTGCTTGGGGATAAGCATGTTGGCGGTCTAACACCAGCCCAAAGCAACAACACAAGGTCAAAACAGCACACCGCGCACATGAGAAAACGAGCACCCAGCAGCGTTGTGTTGGTTTGTT